AAATCAGAGCCAATTATCGGTTGTGTTACATCGGCTATAATAAACCGCCATGGAAATGTGCGGCGCAAACCAAAATTGGGCTGAAGTGCAATATATCCGTATGTGGATATCGTAGAACCATTTGCTGCATACAGCTGGTATGTATTGGCATGTTGTCGTCCTTGAATTAGCGTCCGTGGATAGACACTTAAGTCGGAGCCTGTGTCAATGAGGTACCTCTTCTTTGAGGTGCGATCAGTCATGAACAGGCGGCCGGTTGAAGAGCTGGGGTCGTTAGCCGCCATTAACGACTGCCCTCCTCGTTTTCCGACTTGAAGTTACAAGGCTTAGTGCATTTCTTTGCTTCTGCCTTGAATCGTCGGTGGTAATAACAAATTTCTTTCTGTTTCCTTTGGCCTTCATATCTATTTCTACTTCGGCTTCGACTTCGTTCCCACCTTTTCTTTTTTGAAAATTTAGTGGTTAATGCGGCAATCTGCTTAGCTAACTCTTGAACCTGCATTTCAAGTGATTTAGTAGCTGTGCTTGTTGAAGCGGCGGCTACAACAGCTTTTCCAGAGACCTCGTGAATCTTATCTGCCTGTTCAGCCACATCTTCAAGTCTATCTTCAGACCGGGTTGCCAGAATAACTTGCATCTGGGTAGGAAGTCGACCTAACCATAGCGTTCGCAGGAGTTGATCAGATACTACAGCGCCTGCGAGTGTTTGAAGATGTCGCAAGAACTGCGAAGGTTTCCTATCACCGATCTCTTCATGTTCAAGAAGCTGTCGAATGCGTTGTTCTTGAGAAGCGCACAGCCTTTGAATTAAGGCATTTTTCAGAGCTTGATACTTTCCTCGTTCAGGGGGATTAGTAACAACGTCTTTAACTTCTTTAGCATATTTTGCCTCAAGCTGAGACAAGACATAAGCATATTTTGTAGAATCTTGAGTCACTCCACCCAAGACGAATTGGCTTTCAATTTGGTTGAACCATATGTCAGGTTCTTCTGGCCAAAAAGGTGGTGATTTAATGGCAATGCGGCCAATCTTTCCAAATGCTTGTTCTTCTTCGTCGCTCATTATCGGAAATCTTCTTTAAACGCGATGTAGATCTTCTAAAGCGGAAATCTTCTGCGTTGATCGCGGTACTCCGGAAATCTTCTGCGTTGATCGCGGTATTCCGGAAATCTTCTGCGTTGATCGCGAAACGTCGGGGTCACCAATTTAGCGTTATCGTTGCCAACGTTTATTTTGTCCTGAAAAGGACAGTTTTGCGTCCGTGAGAGACCAACCAATGTTGGGAGAGATTTGGGCCGAGCCCTGAAAAGGACTCGGCGAGGAGCGTTGATTTTCTTCAGAGAAGTGGCTGTATTATCTCTTCAGATGCGAGGTTGTCGGCTCCGACGAGGACGTCTTCTTTTCCGTTTCAAAGGAGGCAGAAAAGCTGAGTCCGTCTGTGTGGCTCT